CCATTCTGTCCACCATAAGAAACCGAACATTGGAGCATTTTCCGCTTCCTTTCCATCTTAGAAGATGTTTTTTCCCTTTTTGTTTAACCTTACAAGATTCACGAAACTCTGCACACTCAATGCTCTTTTCTTCTACTTTTTTTATTAACATAAACCAATTCTTTCACCTTTGTAACCAAATCTTCAACGTGTTCTTTCCTCGGATGACCACTTTATCATTAGGTAAAATGAAAATTTCAACCTAACAAGTGCTCTTATCAATCTTTGAAAGAAGTTAAAAACCATTAACACCATTGTCGAAATAAATCTTAAAATGTTTTGAGTTGAACCCCTTGGATTTTAATCCATTGCTAAACCAGACCCCTTCTCAAGCCGAAAAGTCCCTTTAACCTTTTGTGAATAAGTAACCGCAACCATGCCATGCCCACCATCTCACCATGATTGACACTCTTTTTCTTCCACTAGACCTCTCTCCACAACATTCCCAAAGCTACCTACCTATCTCCACCACAGGAACCTTGTGGAGATACCCCTAATTGATGACCAACACTTTTGTGCCCAACACTACCAATCTCTGCCTTGTACTGATCACAATCAGATGCCATGTCTCCCTTGGCTACCCCTAATTGATGACCAACACTTCCGTGCCCAACACGACCAATCTCTGCCTTATATTGACCACCATCAGAAGCCACCTCTCCCATCATTGTCCCTTGCAGCTTCAAATCCCTTTCCTCGACCTTTGAAAGTTCAACATCGACCCCATCACCCATTCTTCCTGCTTTGAACCCCCTCCATGAAGCACATATACTTAAAAAAGATAATGTATTCATGTTGGGTACTAACGACTGGTACTTCGTATGATATGTCTGCATGTGTACTTGATAAGCGAAACAAATACCCATTTACTTTTATTTTTATTTTTGTTCGTGAGGGTACAACTTGGATTCTTACTAGGTACCTCGGGAGCACGACAGGTTCCAGCTGTAATCTTGTTTTGAAGTGTACAAGTGCCAAAATAGGATGTTCTTTTATTTAGAGATAGAGTTAATATGTTGTAAAATTAAGTTTTGGTTTGTAGGTTTTCTGATGTAATGACATTAAAATCTGTTTTTTATTTATAATTTTTTAAAGCACATTAAATCTTGCTTGAACCTTGTTTTTAGTACTAAACTGTGTTTTGTAGGTTGGATCCCTAATCAACTAAGTCATTTAATTAATTCTTGCATTTGATTTTCTAATTGTATATATAATGCACCCTTCAAATTTTAAAACTATATTTTTACTGTAGTATCTTGGTCATATCCGTATTTTCTTCTTCTTCTTCTTCTTTTAAACGTTTCCCTGTATTGACGTTCCTGTATCATACCCATACTTGTATCAGTGCTACATGGAACCCCCTCAATTCCAATTTTAGTGACCTTTGGGACAACCTCATCCTTCTTCACCATTCTTAAATAAAAAATGATTTCTAAACAAGTTAGGAATCTAGTTGAAGGATCGAATGAGGTAGTTGGTAGGGGTAATGATGGTTTGTAATTCCTATTTTTATGATCACAATCAGATGCCATGTCTCCCTTGGCTACCCCTAATTGATGACCAACACTTTTGTGCCCAACACTACCAATCTCTGCCTTGTACTGATCACAATCAGATGCCATGTCTCCCTTGGCTACCCCTAATTGATGACCAACACTTTTGTGCCCAACACTACCAATCTCTGCCTTGTACTGATCACAATCAGATGCCATGTCTCCCTTGGCTACCCCTAATTGATGACCAACACTTTTGTGCCCAACACTACCAATCTCTGCCTTGTACTGATCACAATCAGATGCCATGTCTCCCTTGGCTACCCCTAATTGATGACCAACACTTTTGTGCCCAACACTACCAATCTCTGCCTTGTACTGATCACAATCAGATGCCATGTCTCCCTTGGCTACCCCTAATTGATGACCAACACTTTTGTGCCCAACACTACCAATCTCTGCCTTGTACTGATCACAATCAGATGCCATGTCTCCCTTGGCTACCCCTAATTGATGACCAACACTTTTGTGCCCAACACTACCAATCTCTGCCTTGTACTGATCACAATCAGATGCCATGTCTCCCTTGGCTACCCCTAATTGATGACCAACACTTTTGTGCCCAACACTACCAATCTCTGCCTTGTACTGATCACAATCAGATGCCATGTCTCCCTTGGCTACCCCTAATTGATGACCAACACTTTTGTGCCCAACACTACCAATCTCTGCCTTGTACTGATCACAATCAGATGCCATGTCTCCCTTGGCTACCCCTAATTGATGACCAACACTTTTGTGCCCAACACTACCAATCTCTGCCTTGTACTGATCACAATCAGATGCCATGTCTCCCTTGGCTACCCCTAATTGATGACCAACACTTTTGTGCCCAACACTACCAATCTCTGCCTTGTACTGATCACAATCAGATGCCATGTCTCCCTTGGCTACCCCTAATTGATGACCAACACTTTTGTGCCCAACACTACCAATCTCTGCCTTGTACTGATCACAATCAGATGCCATGTCTCCCTTGGCTACCCCTAATTGATGACCAACACTTTTGTGCCCAACACTACCAATCTCTGCCTTGTACTGATCACAATCAGATGCCATGTCTCCCTTGGCTACCCCTAATTGATGACCAACACTTTTGTGCCCAACACTACCAATCTCTGCCTTGTACTGATCACAATCAGATGCCATGTCTCCCTTGGCTACCCCTAATTGATGACCAACACTTTTGTGCCCAACACTACCAATCTCTGCCTTGTACTGATCACAATCAGATGCCATGTCTCCCTTGGCTACCCCTAATTGATGACCAACACTTTTGTGCCCAACACTACCAATCTCTGCCTTGTACTGATCACAATCAGATGCCATGTCTCCCTTGGCTACCCCTAATTGATGACCAACACTTTTGTGCCCAACACTACCAATCTCTGCCTTGTACTGATCACAATCAGATGCCATGTCTCCCTTGGCTACCCCTAATTGATGACCAACACTTTTGTGCCCAACACTACCAATCTCTGCCTTGTACTGATCACAATCAGATGCCATGTCTCCCTTGGCTACCCCTAATTGATGACCAACACTTTTGTGCCCAACACTACCAATCTCTGCCTTGTACTGATCACAATCAGATGCCATGTCTCCCTTGGCTACCCCTAATTGATGACCAACACTTTTGTGCCCAACACTACCAATCTCTGCCTTGTACTGATCACAATCAGATGCCATGTCTCCCTTGGCTACCCCTAATTGATGACCAACACTTTTGTGCCCAACACTACCAATCTCTGCCTTGTACTGATCACAATCAGATGCCATGTCTCCCTTGGCTACCCCTAATTGATGACCAACACTTTTGTGCCCAACACTACCAATCTCTGCCTTGTACTGATCACAATCAGATGCCATGTCTCCCTTGGCTACCCCTAATTGATGACCAACACTTTTGTGCCCAACACTACCAATCTCTGCCTTGTACTGATCACAATCAGATGCCATGTCTCCCTTGGCTACCCCTAATTGATGACCAACACTTTTGTGCCCAACACTACCAATCTCTGCCTTGTACTGATCACAATCAGATGCCATGTCTCCCTTGGCTACCCCTAATTGATGACCAACACTTCCGTGCCCAACACGACCAATCTCTGCCTTATATTGACCACCATCAGAAGCCACCTCTCCCTCAGCTCCATCATTGTCCCTTGCAGCTTCAAATCCCTTTCCTCGACCTTTGAAAGTTCAACATCGACCCCATCACCCATTCTTCCTGCTTTGAACCCCCTCCATGAAGCACATATACTTAAAAAAGATAATGTATTCATGTTGGGTACTAACGACTGGTACTTCGTATGATATGTCTGCATGTGTACTTGATAAGCGAAACAAATACCCATTTACTTTTATTTTTATTTTTGTTCGTGAGGGTACAACTTGGATTCTTACTAGGTACCTCGGGAGCACGACAGGTTCCAGCTGTAATCTTGTTTTGAAGTGTACAAGTGCCAAAATAGGATGTTCTTTTATTTAGAGATAGAGTTAATATGTTGTAAAATTAAGTTTTGGTTTGTAGGTTTTCTGATGTAATGACATTAAAATCTGTTTTTTATTTATAATTTTTTAAAGCACATTAAATCTTGCTTGAACCTTGTTTTTAGTACTAAACTGTGTTTTGTATGTTGGATCCCTAATCAACTAAGTCATTTAATTAATTCTTGCATTTGGTTTTCTAATTGTATATATAATGCACCCTTCAAATTTTAAAACTATATTTTTACTGTAGTATCTTGGTCATATCCTTATTTTCTTCTTCTTCTTCTTCTTCTTTTAAACGTTCCCCTGTATTGACGTTCTTGTATCATACCCATACTTGTATCAGTGCTACATGGAACCCCCTCAATTCCAATTTTAGTGACCTTTGGGACAACCTCATCCTTCTTCACCATTCTTAAATAAAAAATGATTTCTAAACAAGTTAGGAATCTAGTTGAAGGATCGAATGAGGTAGTTGGTAGGGGTAATGATGGTTTGTAATTCCTATTTTTATGCAAAAAATTGGAGCAATGGTATGGTAAGATTTGAAAAATTGACTAATTTGTACAATACTATTTTATTTGGTTTAGCAGAGTTCTAATGCTAAAATTGTGCGAGTATTTTTCCTTTTTTCATTTCTTTTTTGATATAATTCTGAACTTTGAGGGGACCACTGCTCCTGCCAACCACCCTCTGGTCTACCTTTTGGCCTTTGATTGTCCTACCAGCTTTGACTACATGCTGTTTGGGCTTTGCCTTGGCTTTTAATGCCTTAACCTTGAACCAACTTATTGGAGAAATGACATGATACAAATAGTGTAGTCGTTGAAATTGATTCACACAGTAATTGGGACAAGACTTGGCGAGTTTAGTTTCTTTCTTCTCTCTCATTTTTTTTTTTTTTTTTGTGTGCAGGTGTTGATGAAACATCTCTTTCAAAGCTTATGTCTGAAACAACCATGCTAAAGAGTCTTTGTTTGAGGGAGACTCAAATTATTGATAGCACTCTTTATAGTTTCCTTGGGTCTTTCCTGGAAATGCTTGATGTTTCTGATACTAAGGTATGACGACATTCTAATGGAGCATTATTCCCGTCTCCCAAAAGAGAGTTTCTGAGATAGTAATAATTTTTGTTTACAAATCATATATTGTAATTATTTCTGGGAGTAGCAGATTTGAAGGCAAAAATAACTTGGGCACATGTAACTTAGCTTGGACATCATATTTATATTTACTGACCTGCATATTGGGACAAATACTACAATCAAGTTATCTACTGCATTGCCCTTTAGACTTCTTGTGGCAAAGCCCCCACCTAAAAGATGGACCTTGTCAGATGGTTACATCAATTTGTTAGGTCAAACTTGCATTCAAAAGGTGTATAAGGTAGTGGCAGTTACCCATCAAGTGGAGAGTTCCTACCTCCATGTATGCCTTGTAGGTCATAAATGTCAGGAGGGCAGAGTGTCTTCTTCTTGTCCTAAACTGGTTTTCCTGATTAGGAACAAATGCCTTTTCTACTTTTTATAGCCATCTAATGCGTCCAGAAACACCTAGGCATTTAACTTGGTCTTGGTGAGCCCTAAAAACTCAAAGCTAATATAGCTTATGGATATAGACTATGAAGCAAAGACATGGACATGGGACACAATGATTTCAAAAAAATGGAGACAGACACGGATACGGTAGAGGACACGACAAATAATTTTTTTTTATATATAGATTTATTATGTAGATTAATATTATGTTACCAACAATCAAAATTGATAAAAACCAACATTAATTCAATATATATAAACCACTACATTTAAACAAATTAATAGATCATTCATATTTGGACATGCATGTCCTCGGCGTGTCCCTGCTGTGTCCCCGGCATGTCCCTGTGTCCCTTGATTTGTCCAAATTTGGACACACGTATCCCCGGCTTGTCCTCGCCATATCCCTTTCCAAAAATAATAAAATTAAAGGGACATGCCGCCAGCTTGTCCGACATTGGTACGGAGCCTATTTTGAAGTGTCTGTGCTTCATAGGATATAGATTTTTGATAGAGCGCAACATAACCAATCAATTATTAAAGGATAAATTACACTAAACTCCCTTGAAGTTTGAGAAAAATATAATGAGCGCCATAGTTTTAATATAATTACATTGACCTCCCCTTCACTAATGGTAGGCTGAACGGAGCTAACAGAAAATGTCAAAATACTTTTTTACCCTTGTATATTTGGATCAAAATACTTTTCTACCCTCTTTCTCTCTCTCTCTCGCCAAATCCACAGGCATGTCTCTCCTCGACCTTAGCCACACCTCAACTCTAGTCGCCATGTCCTTGCGCTTCATCTCTGTTCAACCCTAAGTCAATTCTTCTATATACACATTACTGCATGATCCACCCCTCCTCTTACCCTAACATCCCACAACTACCTATCACCATAGCCTTCATAGCCACACTATGCTCTTTCCACCACGAACATCCATCCCACTTGCACTCTCCTTCCATCCCTCCCAGTTGTCTCATTCGGTAGCACCAGCGGCAGAACAACTTATAAATCGATGGTTGAACAACACAAAATCAGATCCAAGACACACCCCATTACGATCGAAGATCACCCACCACAACCCGCCTAACATCGCCTCAAAAATTGATCTACATTGCATGCCCTACTGCCACAACAATGTATACTGCCCACCGATCTACACTGCTACAAACCATCCCAATTGCCCAACCCATCCCGATCCCCTCTCCAGCACTTTGCTTCCCATTCATGTGAATTTTCTTCACAAATCAAAGAACATGGAGACTTATCCAATTTCGTAGAGAGACACAAAGGGGAGAAGGCGTTGAGAAGCCCATCGTTGGCAATTCTGTTGTTTCAGAAATCAGAGAAGAGAGAGAGAGAGAGAGAGAGAGAGAGAGAGGAAGGCAGGGAGACATCAGAAAAGGGGCAGTTGGTGGTGGCAAATGGTGGTGTTCGCATTCGTGTAGGCAGAGATACATGGTGGTGTTCACGTTTATGTTGGAGATAAATTGTGGTGTTGGTGTTGGCATTGGCAGTGATAGACGGTGGCTTTGGCGATGACAAACGGTGGCAGTACTAAGCGATAGAAAGAGGGTGCAGCAAACTCATCGTGGCATGGTAGTGTTGGTTCATTATGTATAATTTTGTTTCTCATTAAAGGGTAAAATAGGTAGTCATATAATTCTTGCTGATATCATGATTTATCTGTACAAAACTAACAGTCAACTGATGGAAAGGGGTACAATTGATATGCAACAAGGAGTTTGAGGGTTGAAAGTGTAATTATTGAAAAACTGTTGGGCTAGCTGTAATTTTGCCATACCTCAAGGGGTGGAATATTGTAATTTACCCATTAAACCATTAAACAGGAATGTCCTTATGTATTTTCTTGTCATTTTTAGCAAGCTTAAGTTATGTTATGGTGCCAGATGGATAATACTGGTGCATCTTAGCCAGTAATATTGTGCTTGTGGAATTGCAGGTCTCCAGTGCTGCTTTAGCTCACATTATCTCTAGAAATCCTGGTCTGAAATGTTTGAAGGCAAAGGGATGCAGGAATCTGTTTCACCAGAAAAGCAAGACAGAAGGGGGAGTTTTTTCTTCTTTCAAATATTCATGCAGAGAATGGTATATTGAGCTAGGAGAAACCTGCAATTTGGAAGAAATTGCACTTGGATGGGGTTTTTCTTGCTTTTCTCTAGAAGCTTTGAAACCTGCAATTACAACACTAAGAGCAATAACAGTGGGTTTAGGTGCATCGTTAGGTCAAGATTCACTAGAACTCCTACCCACTACTTGCCCTTTGCTAGAGACGGTGATCCTTTATTTTCAGGTACCATTCATTCATGAGATGTAGCTGTACCCATTGTTTTGCCAACCGTTGCCATACACAAGCAATTCAAAATTAAGAAAAGTGAAAATCATCATATGATGCATGTTTTGGATAAGTATTGTGATCATCCTTTACATGCTTTTGGATCATTGTTCAGTATGGCTCTCCGTGGAGGAGAAAAATTGAAACAATATTAACGACAACAATAAAGCAAGAAACATAAGAAATGAAAACAAAGAGGAGGCAGATGGTTTCATTTGTTTGATAAAATAAATAATAAATAAGGGTTCAACTTTCAAGAAAGTTCTTTGGCAAGTAAGACCAGTGGAGGTGGTAAGATGAATACACTCTTCTGCTAAAACAACCATGAGGTGTCGATATCTCTGCTTGGAGAAACCCGTAGAATGTATGGTCTCTTCTTCATGTATACAATTCATGCTGGTGCTATTGCCTGGTGGTCCTTCATTATCTGGCATTTCTATTTCATTTTCTGACATTTCTTTCATATTATGATGATACTACATTTAGAAAAGCATTGTCATTCATAGGTATGTTCACTGTTTTTAACAGGTGATCTCTGATTGTGTCTTAATAAACATTATGGAATCATTGAGACACTTGCAAGTTTTGGCTCTCTGCCACTGTCTTGGTGATATATCCCCTGTAAGCTTTAAGTACAGTGTGCCAAATTTGAGGAAATTGAAGCTTGAAAGGGTAACTCCATGGATGACCAATGATGATTTGGTTATTCTGACTCAGAACTGTGCAAATTTGATTGAGCTTTCGTTGCTAGGATGCAGACTTCTCAATTCAGGTGAGTGATCATTGTTGATGTGTCCCATTTGCAATTGGATATACAGATCGAACTCCATTAATATTGCCTTCCATATCTCTTTCATTCACTAGAAGATGATGCGATTGACAGAGTTCACCTTTGGATTCACAAGAAGACTTCTGCTCTTTTATTTTACGTTACGTGTGTGCACACCTATGCTGACCCACCTAATTGGGACACAAGGCTTAGTTTGGTTTGGTTTGTGCGTGCACACCTTTTGTAGAGCAAGTACAATCATGTGCCAATGTTCTTCAGATTATGGGGGCTGCATACAAGTAATCTGATCTTTTTCCTCTTACTATTTTATATTCTTTTGTAGATTCGCAACAGATCATTTCAAGTGGCTGGCCAGGCTTGATTTCTATTCATCTAGAGGTTTGCCACTGCCCTTTTTATCCAGGTTTGTCTATACACTTGACAATAATATGTGATTGCTTCAGGAAAAGGCTTTGAAATGATGATGCTGTTGTTTGTCTATACACTTTTATGTCTATTTGATATACGAGGGACACACTATTTTGGGTGGTTCCAGTAGTTTTCCATTTGTTACTAATGGATACCATAGGTAATTGATGCTTATCTGGATGTGATATTGCCACTGGTCGACAAAGTATGAAGACACATAGCATTTTTCCTTTGATAAGGAGGAAGATACATACATGTATACACACATATTTAAAGTGGTTGAGAGAATACAGATATTTTGATCTTCTGCTTGGGTAAGTAGTGTGGCTAAATAGTAGAAATCTCCTAGTGAAACGAATAGTACTTAGCAATACAAGATAGATTATTGAACAAACTTGTTACAGGTATTTCTATTATTTGACATTATCATCTAACTACTGTAGGCAGCCAAAACCCAATATATTCGAAAGTCCCTAATGCTGAAATATACTAGGCGATTCTTCTTGAAGTAAAAGGTCTTAAGAACTGGCTAAAGTCCTGTGTATCCAAAAGGGCTAAGCAGGCACGAGTGAAGCCTACAGGCGGGAAAGAGCCCTTCAGGAATTATAGAAGTCAGGAGATGACCTCAATGAAGTCCATAAAAGCCAAGAAACTGATACCTCGTCACAAAAATGTGACAAGTATTCCTGCAGGAGGAAAAAGAATCACCTCTCATTTCATTAGGAGAAGTAAAGAAAAATTTGACTTATCCTAATGATAAGCCAATGGAAGGGAAATAAGTAGGGTATTCCATCAAAAGGGAACAAAGTAGCACAGGAACTTTCATAGAGGAGCCATGTTCATATAGGGCGTGTTGGACACCCCCAAACACAAATTACAGATCCTAGATGTATTCAGAATTAAGATATAAATCATATAACCTCAGGCACTTGGCTGACACTTCTCAGGCATATCATTTGACACCCAATTAAGACGTGTGGGATACTATACACCTGGAGGTGCCCAGCTGTCCTTAAGAAAAAATAAAAATTGAAGAAGAAACTTGGTCTTTGTCCATACAGCGCCACGCTTTAAATGGGAAATGGACGCACTTCAATATGTGAGAGTGAGATTAATATAACCTATAAGGCTATACTAAGACATGAATTGTAGGATACTCAGTCAACTAATAACATGATTTTTTTTTTAGAGATATCTTCCTCACTATGCACTTGTTAATAAAGGAAAAATAGAAAAAATAATGAAAAGTATATATTTGTCTGTATAAAATATGTTTAAGCATAAACCTATCAAAAAATAATTCTATCCATGAATACAAAATATTTTTATCCTTGCAATTTGGCTGTCCTTTTTTTATATTTTTATTTTACTATAAAAAAAAAAAAAATCATCATCTCAATGTTTTTGTGTCATGTCTTGCCTGGGTCCTGATTTGGTGTCTATGCTAAAGGCTGCTAAGCGTAATACATCTAATGACAATAGACGTTTGAGAAAAATTATGTTCTGGGGGAACATTTCTCACTTTTGTGCTGCAAAATATAATGTAAATAATAGTGTAACCTGTGTGTGAGCATGTGTGGGCTTGGGTGTCAGTTTGTGAATGCCTTGGCACCCCACACGGTGTTTTCAGGCACTAGTGACTTGTACTTTTTTCATCTTTTTTACATATTACCTGTTGAATATGCAATTTTCTATATCCTTTGTATCAATAACATTTGCTTGAGCTTAATTTAGTGCCTTCTTTTCTTTCACTTGTGAACCATTTACCTGAGCAAAATTATTCAGGACACCTTTTATAGGCCCTTTTCTCGAGTTGTCTGAACTACTTCTTCCATAAAAACACACCTAATCAGGTTCTAGTACTCATATAAACTTTTATATGAATTTCTCATTTTGACTTCTCACATATGTTTCCATGTATGCTGATTTTGAAATTTAGGACTGTGGAGAAGTAACTAGAAACGGTGTTGCTTCTCTTTTTGACTGCAAAGCTGTTGAAGATATCATGCTGCGTCATAATGTGAGTCTTCTACTGCTGCCCTTGTCCTTGTGTCTTGAATGTATATGTGATTTCGGTTGGATTACTGGTCAATGATATACTAGTTCCATTTATCTTCCATTTGGCACAAATTACACCTACATATCAGTTATCAATTTATTCCAACCCGTAGTTGCACAAAGTGGAAGCAGGAGCGGAAGCGTGGAATGCTACCCCCTAAGAGAGTCATAGGTTGGGAGCATTTATATATATTATATAAAGTATATATATATTAAATAATATATATAAATATATTGCGAGATATATATATTTTTTTCTCCAATTAATATTTGAATATATTATAACTATCATAAATTGTATTTTATTTTATGTTGTTGGATTTTACTTAGAATTAAAATCTATTTATTTTGTAGATGGATTTTTTGTAGATATAAAAATTAACATTAATTCAATATATATATAGCCCATTACATTTATATTTACAAAGGTAAAATAAATAAATAGAAAATTAAAAAATATATTGGAATAATTATAAATACAGAAATTTTTTATAATTTCAACTATTATACATCACAGGAAAAACAACCATTGCATCAGCCCACATCATTATTATAATATAAGCACTACACAAAAAGTAACCATTAATATTGACTTCTTGACTTCTTCCCCATTTTCTTTATTTAATATTTATATTATAATCAAAAGAAATTAAAAAAAAAAGAAAAGAAAGAGAGAAGAGAGAAGAGAGACTCGGACAAAATAATTAAAAAAAAAAAAAAAGAAATAGAGAAGAGAGACGCGAGAGAGAACAACGGAGCAAGAGGCAAGAGAGCAGACAGAGAGAAGAGGAGGAGGCGATCAATCGAGAGAAGGAAGAGTAGATCGAGAGACAAGACAAGATCGATCGAGGGAGAGAGGAGACGAGATTGATCGATCTAGAGAAGACTAGTCAAGAGATCGAGATCCAGAGAAGAGGGACTGACAGATCGAGAGGAAGAGAAGAATACAGATCCACGATTAGATTCGCGTTTCTCTCGCATCAAACGCGCGATTCTTCTACAAATCTGAGTCAGAAGCACAGAATCGTGAGCAAGTTGAACAATTCCTGCTACTAAATTCCAACCAACATATGGGATTCATATTTCCATAAAGAATACAACACAGAAAACTCCTTACCTTAGGAGCAGTTATTTTTGATCGGTTATCGATTTATTTATCCATGCCTTGTTTTTTCAGGCACTTCTTAGCCTGTAAATCAAATCCATGTAGATGGCCTCAACTTTGTGTGTTACCTTGGAACACCAGGAATAATTTGTGAGGATTGTAATTGAAGCTTGAGTAACCAGCTTAGGGTATGATGAGATATCACCCCTTATTTATAAATGAAGATTAGGGTTTACAAGGAAGACAATTATAAGATGATCCCTAAGTGCATAAAAATGATTACAGACCCTAGTGACTTTCGGCTAATATAATATGCTAAGTGCCTTTCGGTGATTATAATATGCCAACACTCCCCCTCAAGCTGGTGCGAAGATATCTCTCATGCCCAGCTTGCCTAATATGTCATGAAACGGTTTATTCCCAATTCCCTTGGTGAGAATGTCAGCAAGTTGTTCACTAGACTGAACAAAAGGAGTACAAATGGTACCACTAGTGAGTTTCTCCTTAATGAAGTGGCGATCAATCTCAACATGTTTTGTCCTGTCATGTTGAACTGGATTGTGAGCAATGTTGATGGCGGCCTTATTATCATAGTATAACCGCATGGAGTCCGTCTGAGCAATACCTAGATCACTCAACAATAATTTGATCCATAAAAGTTCACACACACCTTGTGCCATAACTCTAAACTCAGCTTCTGCACTTGACCTGGCAACCACATTCTGTTTCTTACTCCTCCAAGTAACTAGGTTGCCGCTGACAAATGTGTAATACCCTGAAGTTGATCTCCTATCAGTTACTGACCCAGCCCAGTCAGCATCTGTATAGGCTTCTACACGAAGATGATCATACTTTGAAAAATACAGACCCTTACCAGGAGCAGACTTCTAATACCTCAAGATTCTCATGACAGCCTCAAAGTGAATCTGATGAGGAGCATGCATAAACTGACTAACTACACTAACAGCAACAGCAATATCGGGACGGGAGTGAGATAGGTAAATGAGCTTACCCACTAAACGTTGATAGCTCCCCCTATCCACAACTTCTCCTCCTTCATCATCCCTCAATTTCTGATTGGGTTCCAGTGGGGTGGCACATGCCTTGCAGCCAAGCATCCCAGTTTCCTTCAACAGGTCAAGCACATATTTTCTCTGTGAGATAAATATCCCATCCTTAGAGCGAGCAACTTCAATTCCCAGAAAATACTTCAAGCTTCCCAAGTCTTTGATTTCAAACTCTTTGGCTAAATGTTTCTTCAACAGAGGGATTTTCCCACTATCATTGCCTGTAAGAACTGTCATCTACATAAACAATAAGTGCTGTAGTCTTACCGTATGAGGAATGTTTCACAAATAATGTGTGATCTGCCTGACTTTGTTTGAAGCCATATTTAAACATAGCCTGAGTGAATCTCTAAAACCAAGTCTTACCGCATGAGGAATGTTTCACAAATAATGTGTGATCTGCCTGACTTTGTTTGAAGCCATATTTAAACATAGCCTGAGTGAATTTCTCAAACCAAGCCCTTGGAGGCTGTTTGAGACCATATAATGACTTCCGAAGTTTGCATACTTTCCCTTCTGTTTGATGATCCTCAAAACCCGGAGGAATGTCCATATATACTTCTTCTTCGAGGTCACCATGGAGAAAAGCATTCTTGACATCAAACTGATAAAGCGGCCAATCTAGATTAGCTGCTAGAGAAAGAAGTACTCTGACTGAATTCATTTTAGCCACGGGTGCGAAGGTCTCCTGATAATCAATGCCATATGTCTGAGTAAACCCTTTTGCCACCAGTCTTGCCTTGTAACGCTTAATAGACCCATCTGCTTTGTGTTTCACAGTATATACCCATATACAGCCCACAGGTTGTTTGCCCGTAGGTAACTCAGTCAATTCCCAAGTGTTAAAATCCACCCACTACACTAAACCTAACCCACTACACCACATCATGGCTAGTTTCCATTCAGAGGTAGCAAGGGCATCCTGAAAATGGTTAGGAATGCTAACAGAAAAAATATTGGACACAAACGCTCTATATGAGGATGACAAATGAGAGTATGATACAAACTGTGAGATAGGATGTTGAGTACAAGATCTCACACCCTTTCTTTTGGCAATAGGAACATCAAGATCAATGGACTCACGAGTTTCAAAGTTACCTAGACTCTCATCAGAAGCAAGTGATGGCAGTGGAGTAGCAGAAACGGTCCCGTGTATCCAGTTAATTTGTTTTCTGTCGATGTCCTGGACATAAACATGTCCATCCTTATTCTTGGTGACAGTGGGTTCTATAGTTCCAGTAGAAGAGGGGGGTGCAAGAACAACTGGTTCTATCATAGGAGGCACAGGACTCACTTCCACCATAGGAGGCACAAGACTCACTTCACACCAAGGCTCCCCCGGAAATGAGGACGGTGACACCGGAGAGGACAAGAAATAGGACTGGGACTCAAAGAAAGTGACATCCATGGACACAAACCACTTACGAGAAGAAGGGTGGTAACATTTATACGCCTTTTGAGTAGGAGAATAACCAAGGAAAACACACTTGAGGGAGCGAGGGTCCAACTTACCACGAGAGGGGGAGTGATTATGGACAAAACAGACACAACCAAATATTTTGGGAGGAATAGAAAACAAGGACTGAGAACCGAGGAGGACTTGAAGCGGAGCTTGTTTGTCCAAGACCTGGGTAGGGAGACGATTAATAAGATGGGCAACGGTGAGAACGGCGTCGCCCCAATAGAGTCGAGGCACGTTCATAAAAAAACACATGCACCGAGCCATGTCAAGAAGATGCCGATTCTTGCGTTCGGCCACCCCATTTTGCTGAGGGGTATTGGTACAAGAGGTCTGATGGATAATGCCATGAGTAGAGAAATATTATCCTACCCCAGAATCTATGTATTCCCCGCCATTATCAGAACGAAATATTTTGATAGTGGCCCCAAACTGAGTACAAATCATCTTATGAAAAGTGCGAAACACAGAGAAAACTTCACTCTTATCTTTCATGAGATACACCCAAGTAGCACGAGAAAAATCATCAATAAATGTAACAAACCAGCGATGACCTTTCACAGACAGAACACGAGAGGGACCCCAAACATCAGAATGTATTAATGAAAAAGGAACTAAGCTTTTATTCAAACTGGGAGCAAAAGAAGCTCTATGTTGTTTTCCAAGTTGACAAGACTCACAAAGAAAGTCAGACACATGATGATTTGC